GCCTCCAGCGGATTTTCCAGCCTCCCAGCGGCCTTCTTTCAGTGTACAGTTCCACTGGCACGCAGCGTCATCATCCACAAAGTTGGGGCTGTCGCAGCAGATGTCCAGCTCTTCGAAATAGGCGCAGAAGTCCTCCAACGTCATCCTGAGACAGTGATTGATGAGAAGAAGGTGAAGAAGTCTAACAATAAACTCAGCAGGGGTGAGGTACATGTTTTGAGCTGCAACTGATCAGTTCATAGTTTAGCTACAGGGAGTAGAACAATCAGTTGCCCAACAGTCAGTATTCAACTGTCTTTCCATTCATCTGTCTGGTCCAATTTTAAATGTCTCAAAAATGATCTAATAAATGGCTTTAAAATATTGTTTGCACCTTGATTGCCCCCCAAACAATGGTAGCTACGAACTTTGGTGACTTTTCCTCCTGTGCAGTTTTGGCTTTGACTGAAATATCTTGCTACTGGATGGATGGCAGGTCAAAAAACTGAGTCAAGTTGATGTTAAAAATATTCCAAAGACCCCCTTGATGAATGAACACCCTTTCAAAAATGTTATATGCTTAGAATCAGAATATTTGACAAGTCATGCTAACTTCAGAGATGTTTAGAAAGTTACAGTACCCCATTTTTGTTTCTCCTTTTTTTTGATAACTTTACCAGAATTCTCCATCATCGCGCACTTTCAAACACTCCTCCTTGACCTCATTGCTCACAGTACTCCACTGAGTTGACCTGTAACACAAATCAATACATACAGCAAACTGCTTTGCAGGGCTCTGATGAAGGCACAGCAGTATTGAAACGTTATATGTAATAAAAGGCTGTGAATGAAACCATGTGGTCCAGGACCTATGACCAGGATTATATAACAGTTTGTCACTTACTGGTCACTCCAATCTCCGATCCACTCTTTCTCACCCCACGGGTTCCAGATCCTCACCAGATTCACCTCTTTTCCTTGACTCATGACCTGTTGAATCAAAGTAAAATGTCCACAGTCAGAAAAAACAGAAAGCAAACAGAAAAACCACAATATGGTGTAATTTGTGACAAGTGCAGAGCCACAGTTTGAGGAGGTTTAAATCTGATTTATATCAAAATATATTTTATAAATGTATACAGAGTGCTGACATGGAAAAAAAAAACTTTAAAACACAAACCTGCTTGACTCCTGTTACAGCGAAGGCATGACCGGCCACCAGACCGAACGTGTTGCTGTACTCTTCTCCTTTCTCCTGAAATAGATGCAGTTCAACGTTTAAAGTGGGTGATGATTTTTTTTTTTAACAAACCTCCATCTCCTAACCTAAAGAGACAAAATCTTGTCTTTTTACCCCATCAAAAGTTCCACATCCCATCATGGTGTTGCACTGCGTGGCCCTGATCATGACATCCCACAGGTCAGATGGGGCTTTGTACAGTTTGTAGTTCATGTGCACACCCCCACTGAAGTCCTTCAAGGATTCAGGTGGGAGGCCAGCGATCATGTCTCCATAAGATCCACAAACCCTGAAAGCAGGAAATTATGTCTTTTGAAACAAATTTTTTGTTGCCTAAAAGATAGATATTTTCGCTTTTTGTGTATTTGCAGCCATTTCAGTACACGGTGTACTTCAACTACATACTTAGCGTATGCTTTCTCCAGCAGAGGAGCCCAGAACTCTGATCCAGACCTGGAGGAAACTGACACAAGCTGCTCCCTGAAAGTTGGCAACAAGTCATCGACGACAACTTCCACCCATTTTCCAAATCTCCAAAACTTAA